AAAAAAAAAAAAAACGAAGCCAGGGAGGTGGGAGAAAAACAGGCAGGTGGGCTGTCCTTGAACCAGGTGATGCAAGTGTAATAAGAGAAGAGAGTGGCAGGCCGGCGACACACAGCTGCCAGAAAAGGCAGCGCGGACTGACGCTGGGCACAGCCACACGCAGACCACTGACTACTCACTAACTATGTGACTGAGGGAAACTTCTCAACCACCCTGTGCCTCAGTTTCTCATCCTAAAATGGAAAGGATAATTATCTATTTGAGAGAGCCCTGGTGAAGATTAAACAGGGTAAAACATGGAAGCATTTAGAACACTGGCGCTGAGAAAGGACTCACGCATCCGAGGCTGCGTGCCCCCATACACGTGCTTAACCTGCATGACACAGATTAACTCTCTCAAAGTTTGGAACAATCTTGCAATCTAATTTCTTTTACACTGAAATTCATTCTCCTTCATCTTTTCCAGCCTTAGAAAAATGCTCATTTAACTACCAGTCCTTTCCATAGACTGTCAAATTTGCTGTGATGGTTAAGGGCACGTTTTAAAGGACAGCACAGTTCTTCCCTTCTGCTCCACCCCACAGGCTCGGCTTTCTCATCAAAGGGAAGCAGCAGCATTTATTATTTTTGTGTTCTTGAGTTTCTACCTGAATGGAATTTTTGCTATAAAAAAAAAAGTCTCACATTAAAAGCTTTTACTATATATACACAAAACAGCCTTATCTAAAAACCATCATTGCCAAAACCAGGGCTGGCAAAGAATCACTGTCCCATTAAAAAACAAATATTCTATGAGTACCATAATTTTCCGGAGGGCTAGTGGAGGACACAGAGAGATTACAGACAGAGGCAGGTGAGTGGGACGAAAAGCAGGATGGAGTTCCTCAGACGGACTTTGTGCTCTATTTCCAGAGGAGACAGGGTCTCCCCAGAGTGTGCCCTAACACCTCCTCAGTCCCAGCACTTTATTTTCCTTTGTTTTTTTTTTTTCATTTCCTGCACTAGAACATAAGCTTGGTGAGGACTCTCTTTTATTATTAAGGGAATAATGATGATGACAACTACCACTTAATGAGAACTTACTCTGCATCAAACTTTGTCAAACTTATTCTCTATCAAACTTGGTGATTTGTCACCTCGTTTAATCTTCATCATCCCCGAGAAGTCTGCAGGAACCTTCAATCCCATGTTGTAGAGAAAATAACCATGGCTCCTCCTTGCTCCTGCCCTGCAGTAGCTCACCTAACCTGGTACCACTGCCTCTGCCAGGCCAGGCCTGCCTCCTGACTGTCCCCTCACCTGTCCAAGTCAGGTCCCCCAGCACGCAGAGCCAGCCTCTCTGAGAAGGAGATCTTGTCATTTTTCCTGCTTAATTAACAGTGGCTGCTTAGAGCCTATACTCACCCTTCTTATCTGTCAACCGCTTGGCAAGACTGGCCCAGCCCCACCTTCTACCAACTGCACACCGGCCTCCTCTCTGCCTCCTGGGCCCAGCTAGCATGTTCCTGCCTGTGAGCTTCTCCACCTCACACTCCCCCTCATCTCATCTGCTTCTCCCTCCACACATAGGACAGCCCTCAGCTTATGTAAACTCTGCAAAGACCCAGTAGAGGACTCTGACTGCAATTCCCAAATCCTGGGAGGGAGAAGATGAAATCAATTTAAGAGTAAGTTCTTGGCCTCGATGCTGGTTGTCATGGTAGAAACAGGGATCCTGGGGCGTCCTGCTTCCTCTTCCCTTTGTCCCACTCCCATCAACTCTCACTCTACAAGTTGTCTACAACAGAAATGCCTTAAAAAATATAAACTTCTAAATAAATGGTAATGCAGTTAAAGAGGAAGAAAAAAAGTTAATGCCAGACACGTGGTAACACCGACAGACTAACTTTTTTCTTCTTTTCCCTCCTCCTCTCTGGCAAAGATTCTTTTAAACCAAAAGTCATATGATAAGGAGGAAAAAAAAAAAAAATAACCACTCTCTGAATAAGCAAACAGTGTTTGCCTAACCACCTCCATCATCACATGCAGAGGGCGTGTACTAAAAATTCCCAGCACATCAATGAACATTGTTCTGAATTAAAAGCTAACCTATCACCCCTTTTCAATTTGGCCACCAACTTCCTCACTCTTAATCACTGTTCCCTTTGTGCCATGACTTAGGCCAGGATCAATAATGAAATGCTCCCAGGTTATTTTTCAAGTGACAACGCTGGTTAGAATGACTCTCAACTTGGGCCAAGATGAAATTATCACTCCATAGCTAAACACAGTGACCAAGACTAAACAGCTTATGATGAAAACACAGCTTGGAAATGCAATAAGTTAACAACATTCTTTCAGACCATGGAAATCCCAGTCCCAACTAACCCCTATTTAAAAAAAAAAAAAAAATCTTTTAAAAAAATTATACTTTTTATGGACAATAATTCTAATAACTTACCGGTCAGCAGCTTCTATGTCGAAACAAAACCGTCTGTCAATGGAGTCAGTCGGCCTTTTGGTACAGTCTTTCAAAAAGAACACCTCGCCATCCCCCTGCAAATAATCATTTTAAACATTCTCAAAAACTATAGTCTAAGCACATACCCACAAGCATCCCTATGTTAAGGGGTGGGCAGACAAGGCTCACAATTTTAATTCCCTTCTCTTTATTCTCTTTCAAAGTAATTTAAACACTATTTAAAACCCAAAAGCTTTGTCTTTTTGTTGTTGTTGTTATTCTCCAGTTTTTCAGGTTTTATAGATCCTAAATTGATTATGGTGATATTAAACAGAGCCCCACCAGTGTTAATTTTAAAAAGTAGATTAATGGTAGTTTCCAGATGTTAGAATATTTGTTGTTCTCTACTTACACACTTTTAAAAGAATAAAAAATGTGTTTTTACATAAGATTGTATTACACCATACTTCATAACCAGTATATGGCCCCATTTTTCACCTAAAAACCTGCTATTCCATATGGGTTAACCTAAAAGTACCCTAAGGGCCCCGGATAAGACACAGTGACAGTTTAAAGCTATAACCACTCACTCTGTACAGTTTTTCTCTTTCCAAAGTGAATCACCCTGAATTCATCTTTGCTTAATTTTGTTTTTTTTTTGTTGTTGTTGTTCCAATTTTTGGCCAGGGCCAGGTTTGAACCCACCACCTCCAGCTTATGGGGCCTGCGCCCTACTCCTTGAGCCACAGGCGCCGCCCAAGCTTAATTTCGTTTTAATATGGTCTCATCTTATGTCACTAAACCATCCTCTCTAATTAGGAGCACTGAAAAGAGGTAGAGATAAGGGTACCGCCTGTGGCTCAAGGAGCAGGCATTGGCCCCATATACCAGAAGTGGCGGGTTCAAACCCAGCCCCCCAAAAAAAAAAAAAAAAAAAAAAAGAGGTAGAGACAAAAGAAAGAAGCCACACAGGAATACAGGTACTCAGTGAAGAACAACTCTACTGTGTTGTCTGAGCACATGCTTCTAAAACCTGCTAGTTATCTTCTAGAATCTAAGGATCCCTAATAGTATTAAATACACCAATATTCAAAATATCCCAGTTCTACTTCAAATGTATTTTTTTACTATTTGGAGGCTAAAACAGAAAGATACCACTAAGCAGAAATGTCTAAGGATTTGAATCTGCTCTGACAGGAAGGTGACTCAAGACTGATGTTTCATCTTAACCCCATCAGCCTTTCAAAGTAGTGCCCTGACTTCACGCTCATCCCCATGACCCTTACTTTCCATGTCTATTTCATTATCACATAAATGTCTTTATTGCAAGTTGCTTTAAATACTTTGCAGGAAGAAGCAGAACACATGTAAGTAGGGATGAACTTAGGTTAATTCTGTATTCAGGATTGTAAAACCATGTCCATCTACCCAGCAAGCAATGAATTAACCTGCTTTCCTAAAATGTGTTACCAATTCTGTTCTATGTTGGTGGGAAGAGCTTTGTCTCCAGACCACTGACTACTGTTATGAGCTGCAGCTTCTATGTAAAGATTACTTTTCCTACACAGCCCAATCCCTGAGGTCTTCCTGCTCTTTTCTTACGATCACGCTTTTGCTCTGCTGTTTATTTCTAAGTGACATAAATAGGGGAAACCTAAGTGAGAACTCTGTGAGTCTAAATGAACAGTAAAATCATCACAGATCACTCTGTGTCTAATGTTTTCAGGCTGTGACCCCATGTGTGGAAGTCAGACCTCCCGTGTAGGTCCTGAGGGGCATGA